TATAAAAAAAAAAAACTGTAGTTTTTTTTTCTTTTAAAAACATAACTATTTATAATGATCCCTAAATAATAAACAGGGACAGTTCTTGCGACCTTGCTCGTTATTTGCGTTTTTGATATTGATAGGGACATAATTACCGATGACATTAAACTTTTGTGTATTTCCAAGTGTAATGACTGTGATATTACATGACTTGCAGTTAATGTAATCAATCTGGGTTATCATAATTTCAATCACTTGTTTAATATAGAAGAGAAGACATTGGTTTTATTCAAAGTGGTAAATAAATCATTAAAAATCCTGAAACGGTGTTACGTTGCTATTACTAAAGCTAATAGTTTTAGGGTGTATCTATAGACATCGTTTACAGGTCATTAGTTAGGCCTCACTTTTAATACTGTATATAGATTTGGTCTCTTTATCTAAGAAAGGACATGGATTTATTGGAAAGGGTTCAGAGCAACTAAGATTGTTCTCTGGATGAAAAGGTTATCTTTTATAGATACGTTAAGACAGGAGATTAAAAATATGATACATTTCCTTAGGGTGGGTTGGAGAACCAGAAGGTCTCTTGTTGTCCCGCAGCGTTTATTAGACTGAAACCACTGTTATATGGTATATAACATTTCAACTAGATCTATCCAAGTTCCCTAGCATACGCATTGTACGCATTGTCATTTACAGTTTTAAAATCGTATACCTTGTTCGTGTAATAAATATCTAAATAAATTAAAAACACTGAACGAGGCAATGTTTCGCTGATATTAATTTGTCATCAGCAGGTAAAAGTACTAGTAGTTCGTGCGAAAACAAGTCACGTGATTAAATATGAACTAATCATAAATACGAAACAGCCAATCAAAGTAACGTACTTAAACCCAGGTTACAGATGAAATTTATACATTTAAAACTATTACACCAAACCCTTTTTATAGCATGGCAGATTACGGAAAAACTGTCAGTTATATAAAAGCTTTTCAGTGTTTAATGAAGATAATTCCAGTTGATTAGTGACTAACTTATCCGTAAGTTGTAGTTTTTTAGGCCTAATCATTTGAGAATGTAATTAAGTTCTTTATGTGGATAAGATGTACAATCTCCAACGTCATAACTAAATGTGGAGTTAAAATCTTAATCCGGTTAACGAAGTTGATGATGGTCACGTGACCTTGAAGTATTCTTAGGTCAAAATTAGAGTACAGTTTCCAAAATACATTTTAAAGCAAGTAGAAATAGTTTCTTCAGTCATTTGATTTTATAATCTATTAATTAATTTTTACTTCTTTATTCTGAGTGTTAATATAGCCGACTTTTATAACATTGAAAGAGGAATGTTTAGGTTTAAATGTCTTCTTGGTGTTTCTTCGAGATTCTCATATTACTTTATTAGCTATATTAGATCTTGATTCTCTATACGATTCGTTTCTTCATTAAAAATCAACACAATACTTAAACATTTACATGTTTCGGTGGGTCCATCATCAGGAAGGAGAACCCTTCTAAAAATACTTAATCAATCAATTAGCACAAATGGTGCTGCCATCTAGTTATCTTTATTTTAACATAATTTCCAAAAATAAAATTTGTATCGAATCTCTCCAAAATTGGCTTCGAGGCCTTAAATATGTCTGTTGAATCTATTATTTAACTGGTATTTATTAAATATGTCTGTCGAATCTATTATTTAACTGGTATTTATTAAATATGTCTGTCGAATCTATTATTTAACTGGTATTTATTAAATATGTCTGTCGAATCTAATATTTAACTGGTATTTATTAAATATGTCTGTCGAATCTATTATTTAACCGGTATTTAATCAATTATACGTTGTTCCAGTTAAATACCAGCTGTGTTGTTTGTCATATTTTCAGGTCACGCTGATTCATTAAATTACCGTTCATTTATGTTCATTAAATCTAATTTTAAATGTGTACATGTTAGGCCAACATACATTAAACCACGGTTAAAAGATGTTTTATAAATATCGCATTTAGCTGTTAGTGTGCTGTTTATTCAAGACTAGTAGTTAAATTACTTAATTACAAGTTACATTCGGTTAACTTGTAATTGTTTCACAGAAGACTTATTTATCGAAATGTCTTGTAGAAATTGTGTATCAGTTTCTTAATTTTAAAAAGTTAGTTATAATTTATTAGAATGATTTGCCTATTTTAATACAGTCGCCTCATGTTTAACATGTTTATATTATTCACAACGAACTCTCCACCATTCGACAACTCAATTCATATACTTGTGGCTGTGGTACCATGTTGGGAGTTAATCCAGATGAAGGCTCCACTGTAAGATGAACGCTGTGGTACCATGTTGGAAGTTAATCCAGATGAAGGCTCCACTGTAAGATGAACGCTGTGGTACCATGTTGGAAGCTAATCCAGATGAAGGCTCCACTGTAAGATGAACGCTGTGGTACCATGTTGGAAGCTAATCCAGATGAAGGCTCCACTGTAAGATGGACGCTGTAGTACCATGTTGGGAGTTAATCCAGATGAAGGCTCCACTGTAAGATGGACGCTGTGGTACCATGTTGGGAGTTAATCCAGATGAAGGCTCCACTGTAAGATGGACGCTGTGGTACCATGTTGGGAGTTAATCCAGATGAAGGCTCCACTGTAAGATGAACGCTGTGGTACCATGTTGGGAGTTAATCCAGATGAAGGCTCCACTGTAAGATGGACGCTGTAGTACCATGTTGGGAGTTAATCCAGATGAAGGCTCCACTGTAAGATGGACGCTGTAGTACCATGTTGGGAGTTAATCC